GTAATTTAGTTTTAATTAGAAATTTTCCAAGATTAGAGTCAATGTGTATGTATCTTTGTGTCAGGATAAAAAAAACAGTTAAATTATATGGCAGAAACTGATTTATGGGAGTAATGGAAGCCCGGGGAAGATTTGAAACAGATAATCACCGAAGACAAGAGGACCACTTGTCCCCGGTCTCTGTAACATCAGAGGACTGTAATGACTATGAAGAGGAACTAGAGGTAATTTCGAATTAATTTCAAATGTGTATATATAATATAGTGGTCAGATGGCACATAATGTTTCAGTTGTTATATCCATTATGAATGAATGATTCTGAGTTCTTCATCCCATGTTAAATGGATCCCCTGTAAGAATCGGAGAAAAAATGTGCATTATGCAGAGTGCTCACACATTGAAGACATGAAAGTAGTTCAGGAACAGGAAAAATTCTATCATAAAATAAATCAAAATGAAATTCATATACAGGCACATTGAACACATCTGACACTTTCAGTTAATATTCAAGTGAAAGGTATTGTCATGCATTTATGGGTACGAGTAATAATAACGGGTTTGGGTTGGATGATTGGATTTATTAACACCTTCTTTAACAATCTCTCGTAATAATAATAACATACAACAGCTCACAATAAATGACTGCACAGGTCTTACTCCAGCCTGACAGACTCCATTCTGGTCCAAGCCACAACTGACTTCTCTTCTACTCTGTCTTCTCCTGGCTCCTATGTACTGCTGACCTGATCTCAGAGTCTGAGTTATGACTGGCAGTTTACCACCAATCAGTTCGTCTTGGCGATAAGCTCCTTGAAACTCACGACCAGTAATTCTATTTTCCAACTGAACAATTGCGATTATAGTCTTTACGTAACATCCTCTCTGACAAGAGGATGGGTCTCTTGTTTACAATTGCTGCTGGCCCTCGCAAGAGCAGTCATTCTTGGGTCTGAGTCCCTCAGGACTCATGACCGTATTTTGCTGTCTCAGATTTGAGACTCCCCTAACCTGGAGGACCAGGTCCCGGTATTTATATCCCCCAGGAACATGGTGGCCCATTTATACCCCCCAGGCACTGGGTTCCCTTTTCGTCACCTTCTACACCTGGCAGGGCTACGATAGAGGTGTTCACACCCACCTTCACATGGGATAACTTGATTTGAACTCAAAGTCAAAGTTACGATACAACTGATGGTAAGTCAGCCAGTCTGTCTCTGAATAAAGCACCCATCTGGGGCTTAAGACCAGATCTTTATTACTGTCATACAGTTGGTTTGTTGATGTCAGGCGATCTCTCTGACGAGAGGATGAGTCTGCCGTTTGCCAGAGTCACAGTCAGCAGTAATAAGTTTGTTGTCAGTATGTACAGTTTACATTTTACTTGTTATTAAATGTATGTATATATAACATATACAGGGCCTGTGTCATTCCAGGCTTAGTACAGCAGATCATGCCCTATTATTAATAGCTCCTGCTACAACAGCAGTCTACTCACTTGAACTGTCTTATGCTTGACTGCCACCAAGGTTAAGCCTCTTATTTCTGATCTGAACTCAATCCTGTTCTCCTCTTATATAGCATATCTGTATCCAAGGAAATATTTGTTGATCACATCCACAGAAATGTATTCCAAAATGATTTGCTTTCCAAGAATCCATCTGCATGGGAACGTGTTCACCACTTAGCGACATGTTGCCTTCGAAGAACCCATCTCCGTGGAAATGTGGTTGCTGATTCATTCCCTAGTGTTAGGTCTGCATGTCACAGTATTAACAAGAAATCAGCTTTGTTGGCTGTAGGGACTTCTTGGATATTTTGGTTGTTTTTCATCAATGTTGTCAACCCTTACTTTAGCATCTAAAGAAGAGGCGTGACTGAGAAAGTGAACTTATATTTGCATTCCTCTTCTCCCCATTTGTGCTACATGCCCTGCCATCTCAACCTTCTTAGCTTGATCGTTCTAATTATACTTAGCAAAGAGCATTACTCGTATTACCCTTCATGGCCTAGTTACTGCAAGTGAGTACGTGGATAGTTCAGGTAATCAGGTGCATGCCATGATCCAGACGTTATCTCTGAACGATGCAGTTTTCCAAGACAACAGTGCCCCCTTCACACAGCTGGAACTGTTCTCTCATGGTTTGAAGAACATGAAGGTGAACTTCAGCACCTTCCCTGGCCAGCACAGTCACCACATTTGAACATCATCGAACGACTGATCAGTTTTCGAGATGAGTGAGGAACAGATTCCCACCTCCAACATCTCTGAAGAAACTTGAAGATGTTCTTCATGAAGAATGGTATAAAATTCAACTGGAGACTCTTCAAAACTTATATGAGTCCATTGCAAGGATTGCAGCTGCACTGAAGGCAAAAGGTGGTCCTACGCCATATTAACTAGTCATGTGATTATGATGTCTATAGATGTCATACCGTGCTGTGTATCGTAGTGGCTATGGTAGCTATAGATGTCACGCATGTTTCGTAACTATTCTGTTGTAGATATAATGCCAGTCAGAAGTGAAAACTTGTATGTTGTGCTTGCAAGATGTTCTAGTTACTTCAGAGTGTGACAGCAAGTTGTTGATTGCTTGATAGTTCTCCTGGGTTCTAATTCTTTCAACTAATCATTATGGCAGGTCCTAGCAAAAAGGTTCATGTTAATGAGGTGTTTTATTTACTGTCACAAGAGAATGAATGCAGTGATATTTCAGAGTATGAATATAGTGATAGTGAAATGAAATGAAAATTTCATCAGGTGGTGAACAGAGCTGTAATGAGGCAGAAAATGTCAGTGACAAGCGTAGCATGCAACCTGCCTTATGGACAAATTCAGGTGCTGAGCGACCACATTTTCCATTTATGTGGCAAGCCTGGCATAAATGTTGATTTAGAAGACCGCCAGTAACCCCCTGGAATATTTTGAGTTGTTCTGTACACCAGACATTGCAGAAGTAATAGCAAGAGAAACAAATCGGTATGCCCAAAAAATTTTAGAAAATGCACCTTATGTAGAACTAAAATCTAGGACCCATTGCCTGAATGAGACGAACAGAATTGAAATAATGAAGTTGCTGGCAGTCTTACTGTTACATGACTTAACAGACACCAGATAACGAGCTATTTTTGCCGGAGCAAAATTCTGGGAACATTCATATTTTTAGAGCTGTTCAGTGAGAGGAAGTTTCACCTTCTGTTAAAGTTTCTTCATTTTTTTGACAACGAAAGTTACAATGACTCCACTTGTGGTTCCAAAAGACAGTCCAAACTCACACCCATACTCGATCATCTAAATGCAAAATTTAGGATTGTATATATCCCAGAGTGTGATGTGTTGGAAGATGAATGAGTTTTTCATGATGTGGAAGGGACGTTTGTCATGGAAGGTATACGTTTCTTCAAAACATGCCAGATTTGGTATAAAATCATTTGAATTGTCTGAAACCAAATCTGGTTATATATGGACTTTTAAACTGCCCTGTGTATTATACACTTGGTGAAAAATCTGTATATTTGTATCTCCTCAGCAGAATGCGGAACAAATCCACAACAGGAATAGCCAGTAGATCCTTTGGAAATGCAGCAAAGTTAAAATATCTTGGAATGACACGAGAAAGCCAAAAATTATATTCATGAGGAACTTGCTACCATTCAGATCATAATCTCTTGTCTTTCCATCTGCTGTCTAAAAACATCAAGATTAAAATATACAAAACTGCAATTTTACTTGTCTCTCACTTTAAACACACATGTTGTGGGAGTTTGGGAACAGGTTGCTGAGGATAATATTTGGACCTAAGAGGGAGAAAGTGACAGGAGAATGGAGAAAATTACATAATTGAAACTGTTATTTCAATATTAGGATGGTAAGCTGAAGGAGGATGAGTAATATGTCTTGGACATGCCTGTGCCTGGTTTTGAAATAGAGGAAAATCAGTAAATTTCCTGAAATTTCTCTTAACAGGAATATCTTTTGTATTTACCGTTTTTTTCCCCCCTGCAGTGCAGCATCTGGAAGAAATGCTGGGGCAGATATTTGATCATTATATATTTATGCATCTGGGCATTTTGATTCTAGGAACTTGCAGGCTGTCATTGTGTTACCCTGTCTGATAAGCGTGAGGTATTGCCACAGATATCTCATGACACAGAAGTTGGTACAACACTGTTAAGTGATCAACATTAAATGCCTTTATTATCTTCTTTGTTGTTAAGTTTCTTATTATTATCCTGTTAGATTTTTCAGTTGGGTAAGTCCTTCCAGCTGCACTTAGGCCCTGGGGTCAACTTAGCCACTAACTGAGATGAGTACCAGGACTCTTCCTGTGAGTAAAGGGTGGCTGCCATGTAAGGCTGACAACCTCATTGCCATCTGTTAACTGATTGTCTAGAAAATATGGGATCCTTAATGTCTTGCAGCCCTGTGGGCCTCCCTGGCCTGTTGCAGGGATAGCTTTGCCCTTTTTCCTTTTAGATATAAAATCCTTTCAACCCATTCCCTTTGCTTTTCTCTCTCTGTCTCACTCTTATAGTCGCTGTGCACTAGTGCAGGTGTCTGCTGTGGACAAGATGAAGTTCTCCTGTTCCCCAGAGATATGAAACTTGCTCCATAATTTTTGCAGTATGTATTGTAGCCATAGCTGTTAAAGTGCCAGTAGAGGCTTAAGTGCAATTTGAATCCTCATTCCCAGTCTTTCCTTTGAATTACATGAATTTCTTAAAATGAGTGTTGTTCATCCTGTACAGTTTTAGTCACTGTATCTTGTGGTGATAAGAACAAAGGGAGCCACATTCTGTGTGAAGAATGCTTGCTTCTTCTAGTGAATGATAAAACAGAAATTGAAATATGAAGTATATCTGTAATTTTATAATGATAAGGAACATGATCATTCATTTTAAGTGACTGGGCACCTTCCATACATGGGGCCCTTGTAGGCAATACAAGACATCTAGAATCACTTGTGCCTGCACTGATGATGTTTCCCATTTTTTGCTTGCAGGTGGAACTGGACGAGATCACAGTGCGTCAGGAGATTGTGGAGGTGCAGCTGGACCCATCAATGCTGCTATATGTGAACAACTCAAAGTCCAGTTCTACCAACACAAATCAGCAAAGCCCTGCTCCCTGTCAGCAAGCAGCAGCTGCAGAGTAAGTACATCAGTTGTTTGGATGGCTTGTTTCATTCACACCGATGCTGCCAGCTGCTCTTTAGTCTCAAATCATAGGATCAACAGGGAGTAGTCAGTTGGAAAGGAAGGGGAAGGTAGTCATTGTGGCCACATATGAGAGGTTTGTCTCAGGATTTTCCAGCAGAGCCGTAGTCAGGATAGCCATTGTTTGGGCTAAAATTGAGCGTTGGACCTCGGTAATACAAAGGAAGATTGCTAACCAGTCCTCTATGACATTCAGTCCCTGCCTTGCAAAAGAGGCACATCTCTTGAACTGAAAATAGATGTCTTGTCTGGCAACTAATGCCACAGTGAAGTTTGGCAATAATCAAACCCAGATGATAACAAGGGATGTAGCTGAAAGTACTTAGACAATCCTTGAGGACATGTATTTAGGTTTATTTTCTGACTTTGATGATGTCCTGCAAAGGAAAATTACAAAGAAGAACTTGTAGGGGCAGAAGGAGCAGCAGGGTCACTATACAGGGCAGCTCTAAAAAGTCTTCTGCTCTTCTACTGCTTGTCCCCTCCTCATGCTCTTCCCTCCTTTATACCCTGCCTCTTTCCCAAGTTGTCTTACTTTAACCGTGAACATGTTCCCCTGAAATGTTGGTGTCCGCTCAGCGGAACCTTCTGTATCGTCACAGTGCCACACTGCTGATTTGAGAACAGTATTTGACCTAAGAAGAAGGAAATGTCAGATGCAGGAGAAAACTTCATAATTTGTACTGCCTACCAAATATTATTACAGTGATCAAATGAAGGAGAGTAAGATGGACAAGGAATGTAGCATGAATTGAATAAATGGGAAGCACATGCAAAGTTTGAATAGGAAAACCTGAAGGAAATAGATGACTAGGAATACCTAGGCACAGGCAGAATGGTAGTGTTACAATGGATCTTAAATAAAATGGGAAGATGTGGATTGAATTAGTCTGGCTGAGGATGGGGACCAGTGGTGGGTTCATGTGAATATCATAATGAACTTTCAGGTTCCATAATATGCTAGGAATATATTGAGTAGCTGACCAGATGTTGACCACTCATCATCATGGAGTTAGCTGGTTAATTGGTCATTTAGTAGGTTGTTGGTTAGCTAGCCAGGTATAAGTTCCTGTCTGTGTAACCAGCCAGTTAATTGGTTGAGCAGAGATGGAGACCCAGCTTAAAGACCAAGGGGGTGACAGTGTGCTGCCAGGTCAGAACTGTTGCACCCCTCAGGGGGTACTGATAGGTAAGCATGGCACAGTGGTTGAAAGTTATTAGCAGATGGAATTGGAAGAAACTGAGAGAGAACACTCCCCCAGTCCCACTTCATGCACCACTTGGGACTGAACCCAAGCCAGCACAGTCAGGAGCCAGTCTCTGAATGCCTGAGGGATTGCAAGACCAGTGTCCCTATATCACTGTATCCTGAAAGTCCTCGGTATGAATCTCAGTCCAGAGACTGACTATCTTGACTGAGGTTTTCATGGCTTTACTCAGTCATTCCAAGCAAATACTCAGGATACATCCTCAAACTGGGACATAGCTGCTTTCTTCCATATTCTTTCTAATTCAGTATTGCATAATGATCCTATCATTCGATGCTGTACAGTGCAAGGCATTGGCAGCTCATCATCTTGACCACAAATGAATAAGTAGATGCAGATCTGAGTTACTCATGCCCCTTTCTTTGTTTACACAGTGAGAAATTGCCTTATGTTTACATAGAAATAAAGTACTTGAAGTCTCATTCAAGCAGTTTGACATCACAATTCAGACATGCAGGACTCCAGTACAGAAAAGCAGCACTGATGGCTATTTCACTCTCCTTTCTTTATTTTATTGCTAATGGGGTGGGATTAAGTCCCTTGTACTGCAGCACTTCTGGCCTATTGTACCAGCCCCAGATGATACATGAGGGTGATTGTGGAGCAGTTGGTGGAATGAAGATTGGCAGGCGAAACCGAAGTACTCAGAGAAAACCTGCTCGAGCACCACTTTGTCCACCACAAACCCCACTTGACCAGCCCCCGGAATCGAACCTGGGCCGCCACGGTGGGAAACCAGCGACTAACCGCTTGAGCTATGGCGCAGCCTATTCACTCTCCTAACACGGTGGAATAAAATTTGTTTTTATATGTGTGCTTTGTTTTGTGGGTAAATCTACTGTGAGTTCTCTGTGAGTCTGCACTGTTCAGAAAACTAATTCTTATTGCTACAACAAGATATTGTAGAATTTCTGTGCATAAAAAATTATAAGAGAAATTGGAAGGTATGCCATGTAAATAAACTGGTAACACTGGAAATTTTAAGTTTAGATTAAAAGTAATTTCTTCTCCTAGATGGTATTTGAGGTTCTCATGGTACTGAGTGTTCAGATTATGGTCATCTGAGGTGTGACAGTGTAGCTTGCTCTGAGAGTGAGAAGCCACTTCTCTGCTCCGGAGGTGGAGTCAACAACTTTTATGAAATGTTTGTGCCTATCTACCAAAAACAAACAGTGTGATGATCCCACAAGAATGAATAATATATGGAAGTGTGTTTAATTAACATTTTATTAGCAAAATTAGACAAAATAAAGCCACCTAGAAAAACTGTTGATTTTAATTTTGTTTTAAAATTTTTTGAGAGACTCAGGTTTAACTCACTTACATAATTCCTAAGTCATGGGCTGGATGATAAAGGAATTTTTGGGGCAAGAGATTTCTCTCTTTTGCACAGCATGCACACCTTCTCTGGGGCCCACCCAGCCTCCTATTCAGTGAGTTCCTGTGGCTCTTTCCCCAGGGGTAAAGCAGCCACAGCACGAAGGTGGCCACTCACCTACAGCTAGCTCCAAGGTTAAGAATTCATTCATTCATTTTATTTATCATTCATAATTTCCACAACAGTAACACAAGTCATTTCATTAATTACATCATTCTTGAAATCCTTTTGTCCAAATGCCTAAAGGATTAGAATTTGTCAACAATAAATAATTACTCTTGACATGGTTAAACCTACAATTAAAATATAACACACTATCAAAACCAGATAACTTACCAAATTAGATACAATACATAAATCAAAATGCAACTTGATTTTAAAAAAATGCCTCTCATACTAGTGTTCTTAACCTTATGAGTTTATCAGGAGGATTTTAAGAGTATTACAATAAATCAAAAGTCCTACATATGACCATATCAATCACTGAATGTGTGGAGGTATACCTCCACTTGCCTATCTCTTTCTTGGAGTGGTGCTTAAATAAGCCAGCCAGTAAACTTCGCCATTATTTTGTAGCTGTGTCAATTGAAACTTGGTCTTCCAACAGTATTATCAGGTTACTGATATTTAATAATAATAGTTTTCAGAGCAACTAAATAAATAAACAAGTAAGTCATGCTGGTGATGGACGGAACACATTTTATATTGCAGGAAGCCTACCCCTACCACCGACCTTAGTGCCCTGAAGAGAGCGCGAATCAAGCCCAAAAGAGAGCCAGTGCCTGTCACACAGCAAGGTGGTGGTGATGATGATGATGATGATGATGATGATGATGAAAGCAATGATGAGAATGACAGCGAAAATGTTCCTAGTGACAATGAAGGCAGGAAGTGGAATTCCCATCCCTGTGACGTATGTGGGAAGGCTTTCAGGGAACGGAGCCACTTGGCCACCCATAAACGCAAACACGTGACAGAGAGACGGTTCAAGTGTAACGAATGTGGATCTTGCTTCAAAACCAAGTCTAGTTTGCACTTCCACATGAAGCGGCACTCAGAAGCTCCATTTGTGTGTGATCCATGTAACAAAGTGTATCCTGAACGTAAACAGCTGATGCGTCACATCCGGGTTGTGCACACATCAATAAATCGATATCCGTGTGACCAGTGCGATAAGGCATTCAAAACACGACAGAAACATGACCTACATTACACATTGCACACAGGTGAGAAACCGTTTGTATGTGACCTTTGCCAGAAAGCTTTTGTGTACAAGAGTACATTCATGCAGCATATGAATTCCCATGCTGCAAATAAAGAGTTTAAATGTGATAAGTGCCCTAAGGAGTATGCTGTGTGTGCAGAATTCAAACGCCATTATATGAACCATACAGATTTCCGTCCATTCAAGTGCACTGTTTGTGGTAAGGCTTTCCCCTTAAAAGGGACACTAAAGAACCACATGAAGATCCATGCACCAGAGAAGCCTTACAAGTGCAACAGATGTGAGAAAAGCTTCATGAAGAAACAGTCACTAGACTGCCACATGATGTTGCACGATGGGCAGAGTCCGCAGTTCATGTGTGATCAGTGCTCCCAGTCATACTACAATGTCTTTGCTTTGAAGCGACATTATCTGAAGCATACAGGTGAACGGGGCTTCCGCTGTGAGGTCTGTCACAAGGCCTTTTGGATGAAGGATGCGCTCAAGGTCCACATGCGCACACACAGTAATGTCAAGATGTTCCCCTGCAAAGAGTGCCACAAAGCATTTGCACACAAACACACCCTGGATTCACACATGAAGATCCATGCTGGTGTGGCATCCCATGTGTGCCACTTCTGCCACAAGACGTTCATCCACAAAGCGAACCTCACACGCCACATCAAACTGCATGAGGCCGATCAAATCACTGCCCACAGTGCTGCCAGGTAAGGTGCTGCCTGTAACAAACATTTTTATTTATGGAATTCTAACATAATGCTATATTGTGCACCTCAGAGTTAAAGAAATTCGTGTTGGCAAAATTTCACCCTTACAGTAATTTTGAAACATAAATATGAAATTCATGAGAGTGGCCATAAGTCTGACCTTTCAGAAATTTGGAATAAATATTAAACATTTTAGACATAAAATGCAAAGAAACAAATAAGTCAACCAGTACTGTTTTCTTAAGAAATGGTTATTTGTTAGGAAATTCAGATCCTATAAGCACATGTGTGAGTGATGTAAGGGGGATGCCTGTTAGTGCAGCTGCTGTTCCCAACCTGTTTTGCATTGTGCCGTGTATTTCCCTTATTTATGTTGCCTGGAAAGAGGCCACGAAGTTCAGGTTTCTGGGTATGTCATACCTTGAGTAGAAAACCTTATGCAGGAAAAGTTCTGTGTTTTCAGTGAGATCTCTGGTATGTAGATTTTGGTTCCTGCCATACGTTGAAAATAGAATCTAGTAACTTCTTAATTAGGCCGCACCATAGCTCAAGCGGTTAGTCGCTGGCTTTCCACCATGGCGGCTTGGGTTCGATCCCAGGTCTGGTCAAGTGGGATTTGTGGTGGAAAAAGTGGCGCTGGGGCAGTTTTTCTCTGAGTACTTCGGTTTCCTCTGCCAATCTTCATTCCACCAATTGCTCCACAATCACCCTCACCTATCATCTGGGGGTGGTACAGTAGGCCAGAAGTGGCCGCAGTACAAGGGACTCAGTCCAACCCCACTAGCATTAAAAAAAAGTTCCTAATTAGGACCTGATGATCCATGTCACTGTTTGGTCACGATGCAAATGGAAAGATGTTTTGCACACAGTTTAGCTACTGTTATTACTAACAGATAAAAGAGTGTTTTTTTTACTATAACTGTGGACTGGAAATATTCTATAGGAAAACACTATTGTGTGTATAACGTGGGAGTCTAGGAAAAAATGGGGTATGCTTTATAGAATTTCATGCTGGAGACACATGCTGTATGTATAAAACTGTAACTTTATGGTTTCGCATTTCTTAAACTACCATATACCTAACAAAGAATGCCCAGAAATACTGTCACATATAAGAGTGGATTGGTGACTCACTTATACACTCACAACTCATGACTGCACTTTGCAGATCACTGATACACCCAGACTAGTGTCCTCAGTCTATTACAGTCTGAACTAATCATTTCCTGTCAACAGGTTTTGCACAGGAACTGTAACAGTCTCACTGAACTACACACTCCAACTTCCAACAGAGAACTCTTGCAACTAACTGGTTGCCCCAGTCATAGGATCTCAGCAACAACTCTGGTATATTTGCGTATCTTGTGGTTGTTGCATAGTAATGGCTCTACATGCTGTACTCTAGCCAGCTCTTAGTTCTTTGCACCATGTGCATGTAGGCAGTGTTGCCAAATAGGTGTGGTCTGGTGCCCAGTCTTGGCCAGTAGGGGTGCTGAACAAGGGAAATGCTATCAGATGGCACCAAACAGCATTAACAACTGGTATTCCAAGGTGGTAACCCATCCAGGTGCTGACCAAGCACATTGTTGCTTAGCCTCCTCTGCTGTGAGTCAAGTGGCATGGAAGATGGTGGAGGGTAGGTCGCAACACCATTGGGGGATGGTGCAGTGTAGTAGGAGTAGCCACGGCTGTTGAAGCAGTGTGCAGCTTTTGCAGTAGGATATTTGGATGTGATTCGAGTCCTCACTCTCAATCTTTTCTTTATTTGGTATAATTCAGGATCCAAGTGTGAGTGTTACGCATATTGTAAATTTTTTCCACTCTATTTTGTGATAAAGACAGGGGAGCAACTGTGTCCCAGGGGAAGAAAGCATACTTGTGCCAACACAATGTTTTTCAGTTTTATGCTGATGAAATGTTTGCTTTTTCCCCATTTTTGTTCACCAAGAATTCATATGTTAAATGGATTCATCGTTAATTTGTGACCTGAGTACTGGAATGTTCATGCACTTTTCTCATTCTTTGTATTTTGCTGCAATGTCCCAATGTAAGGTTTGCCTTACTTGCAAGTGTGAGATCTGAAAATGCATTGTGTTTAAAGTCGTATTTGAACTGAAGTCGATTCCTGGGTTCAATCCCAGTTCCTGAAAGTTGGCATTAATGGACATAGTACGCTCCAGTGATAAGGTAACAAATTAATTAGCAGTTTTCGTTTTTACCTCTTTTGGGCTCATATACCTTGCCCCTGTGTACCTCCAGTAATGCTCAGCAAGCTAAAAAATTCTTGTAATATTTGTGCACCAATTTCTTTTTTCTGTTTCTGGCAAACTAACTCCATAGAGCTGAGCCCTTCTGGAGAAGCTCCCAATAGTGCAGCTACTCAAGAATTTCTGAGCATTTTATCGAACCTGAAGGTCCATTGCTGTGTTCACAAGAGCCCTCCACAGATCCCTATCCTGAGCCAGAAGAATCCAGTCCATACTACCCCATCCTATCTCTCTAAAGGGCCCTACACACGCTCCGGTAGACCTGTCAGGTGCGCCTGCACAGGCGCGCCTGCGCAGGTCGACCGGAGCGTGTGGATGACAAAACGTCGCAGTTATTGTGACCTGAACAGTCCGCCGGAGCATATTCGAAAAATCATTAGACGACCTGTGCAGTTTTGTACCTGAACCAGGCAAACCGGAGTGTGTGGTGAAATGGCCATCCTCATAACGGTATCTTTCTATTTTAATTACTGGGGCAACTAATGACAGGAGCTGTAAATAAGTTTCTTCATTCATGCGCAAATAATTGTGCCAATCTTTAGGGACCAACTTCAATTCACGTAACAAATTCACATGTGAATAAACGTTTCTTTTCATCAACCACTCTTTGCACCAGGTTTGACGCTTACTTTTCGGTTTGAAACAATTTGTAGCTAATAATAAGCCAAATACAGCTAGAAGATCGTCATCTGTAGATGCCATGTCCGACCGTAGCAAACACAACTGAAGTAATATCGGAAAGGTGTACCTGAGTGTGTGGGCGCACTGGGGTTTTCAGGTCAACCTGCGCAGGCGCGCCTGTGCAGGCGCACCTGACAGGTCTACCGGAGCGTGTGTAGGGCCCTTTAGATCCATTTTAATGTTATCCACCCACCTATGTCTTGGTCTTACTAGTGGTCTCTTTCCTTCTGGCTTTCCCACCATTATCCTATATGCATCCTCTTCTCCCCACATTCGTGCCACATGCCCTGCCCATCTCAGCCTCCTTGACTTGATCATTATAATTATACTTGGTGAGCAGGACAGGTTATGATGCTCCTCATTATGCAGTTTTCTCCAACCTCCTGTCACTTCATCTCTCTGTGGTCCAGATATTCTCCTCAACACCCCGTTCTCAAACACCCTCAGTCTTATGTTCCTCCCTTATGTCAGAGACCAAGTGAAGTTTTGATATCCTAAATGTATTACTTGAACGAGGAGGCCAGAAATACTCAGCCACTGGAGAGGACGAAGAGAATTTAGGGATAATAGGATAATATTAAAAAGAATCTTTGGGAAGTAAGTTGTGAGGCTAAAATGTGTATATGTCTGATGTAGGATTGTATCGAATGGCACACTTTCATATCAGCAATGTTTTGTGCCAGAGAGTCTGCTCTTGTTACTGTGCTGTTCCTGCCCGCTGCACACTATGTCCATCTTGTCTGAGGATGTCACAGTGCTGAAATTTCTTGCTGTCTTCTGGGTTCTGACATCGTGTAGTCTGGTAGCTGGTTACCAACGTTTCAGAAGAACATGTTATCCCAGACTTAAACGTAGAATAACGTTTCGCAGGAACTTACTGCCTCCATCTTCAGGGTAGAACAAAATTTTGGAGAAACATCCACCATATCCAGGGTGTAACAAGTTTTGGATGCTTTCCCACCGCCTGCAGGGTAGAACGGCCTTTTGGTGGATCACACTGCTTCCATCTTCAGAGCAGGATTATATTTTGCAGGAACATGTCATCAGAGTAGAGGAAAGTTTCGTTAAGAAGATGCTGCAGCCGTCTTCAAGGTAGAACAGCCTTCATCATCAGGGTAGCCGTGGAGGCGAAGTTGGATGCAGTATATGCCTCCGAAACGTCGGTAGCCACCTACCAAACCCCAGAAGACTGAAGTGAACCGCTGCAGTTTGAGTCGGAGCGGAGTGGCGGAAGATGGGATGCAGATATCAGTTGCTCGGTTTGTGTGCCCCCTGATGTGAGTCAGTGGGCATGTAGTTCAGAGATGCCCCTGCACGTGAACGCAACTGCTCGCGCGACATGTAGGTCGGTGTTGGCGCGGACTGTACCCGAAGGTAAAGGTGAGCGGAGAGACGTTTGAAACCCGTTCGCGGCCGCTCGCCAGTCAGTGCTCGAGCGATCTGACGGCAGGAGAGGACAGGCCCAGCTCCATTATTGCGTCGTTCAGGTGAGTGAGTGTGTGAGTGTTTTGTGACGTGGATGCTGGGGCTCATCTCAGCGCCGTTGAAAGGACGACGTGAGAGAACGTTTAGGACTTCGCTCGTTCGCCATATTGCAGACGTCTCTACTCTTGCACGCACCCACTTTCACTCAGGGTCATAAGTCACCTGGAAGCAACTAAATCTCCATTCCTAACCTCAAAACGTCTGACAACGTCCACGTTTGTTTTTCAGCTCAAATTTGACCCTCCCGCGGTACAAATTGTGTGCCCAAATTGACACACGGTGTGCAGCGACGTACCAGGATAGAGAGGATAATATTGAAACGGCTTTGGCAATCCGTATGTCGATCTGCTGCACGAGAAGGACGCCCTTCTGCAGATAACAAGAAACTCCGCAGCTCTCAGAGCTGTCAGGACGTTGATGCAGCTCCCTTTGGCTTTACCGCCCACTGCCTGTAACTTTGGTTCACGTGACCATGACAGGTGTTTGAGAATTTATGTAAACCCGCCTACACATGGCAAGTTTCTCCTAAGCAGGAGATATCCCGACATGTCTAGTCTCTAAGGCATCGTTAAATAACAGGACGAAACGTCGCAGTATTGTTGTTACCGTGTTCTCTGTATTCACTAAGACCCGGCAGAAATCTCGGGTCGGACACCGTGTGCCTTGCTCGCTCCACATCTGTAGGATGCAGCAGATTCATAATCATTAAACTCCATGGAGCAGAGTGTCCTTTAAAAGCTGGTAGTTGCACTGTAGTCAAGGCAATCCCGTCCTTTGAATTCACAGGACCTTTCCGTTGGTCTCTTCCTGTCCTGGGGCAGTAAATTGAATTGACACCCTCACACGCTGTTTCCGTAAGATCTGTCCCTCCTTTGCTTAGGTCTCCCTAGTGGTATCTTCCTTTCAGTTTTCTGACTAAGATTTTCTACAGACCTGTCGTCTCGTCGTGCGTGCTACCTGCCCCACTAATCTTCCAGGATTTGATCATCCTAATAATATCAGGTGCCGACTTCGTGATGCAGGTTTCTGCGGTCTCTTGTCCTGTCACATTCTCAGCCTAAGGGCCAGCCAGATCTTACCGTGAGCACCCAATTGCCTGGAGGGACTGAGGAAAGCAACGAAAAACCTCAGGATCGGCAGTGACCTGGCTGAGATTCGAACCAGACATCTAGAGAGTACACGTGTAGCGCGTTTCCTCTAGACCAGCGTGTTCAGTTTGTACTGTGGTTGTGGCTGTCAATAGCTGATGTACTGTGCCCCCCCCCCCAATCTCTCCAGTACCCCTGTGTCGCAGCCCGCACTGGCGGTCCCAGTAATTTCTTCGTGTGGAGCTCTGACCTTGACAGAATAAAATTCTGTGAGTAGTTCGTAACCGCTGTGACTAAGTATACCGAACTCCATGGAGCTGGATCCGTGTTGAGAAGCCGCCAGTCGCTCAGTTCCGAACTTTCTATGGAACCGTAAGGTTCATTACCGGGTTCACAAGGGCCCTGAAGTGGTCCTTATCCCGAGCCAGACGAATCCACACCAGCACACCACTCCATCCCACTACCCTGTGAATCATTTTAACATCGCTAACACTCATACTCATAATTCCGAGAGCCGGTCGCATTCGTAACGGAAATGTGTAAAAATGCGGCTGCTCTCTTCGCCACGTGCGCGCATACCAACGATTCAAGAACCATCGAGCTGATCTTCACGAAATTTGGTACAGTGAAGGTATACTGAAAGCTGTTCCATTTCAGTTTTAGGCACTGGACACTGCGGGGAAGGTGTGCTCTCATTTCGAGCGTAACTCGCCTAATATTTATTGAAGAGAAAAAGGCCTAGAACGGAAGTTGCAGAGAAAACTGAAACAGTTTATGCTCTCCCCCCCACCCCACAAGTCTTGCCGTTTTTGAGATGATTAAACAAATAAGCGAACGCATCAGAATTGCAAAGGTAACCGCACATTTCCTAATTTGTTAAAAATGTGTACAGTAGGTTGCTTCCATTGTTGTTGCTGTGTTTCCGTATTCGCAATGGAATCGGTGGAGCACTGTGCTACAAGCCGGAAGGTCGTGGGTTCAAGTCCCGATGAGGTGGAATTTTTCAGTTGACCTAATCCTTCCAGCCGCACTGTGGCCCTGGAGTCAACTCAGCCTCTAACAGAAATGAGTACTAGGAATCTTCCTGAGGGGTAAAGGGCGGCCGGCGCATAAAGCTGACCTCACCGCCATGTGTGAGCCGATTGTCTAGAAAATGTGGGTGCCTCCACGGCCTGTTACAGGGGCAGCCTTGCCCTAGCTTTTAGTGGAATTGATACATTGGCGTTTGTCTTCAGCGCGCATCTGTTCCGCCGGAGGCGCTGTTCAGTACGGCAAGAGAACTCGGCCTGCGTTCAGACTTGCGACAAGTGAATGTCGTCTTGGCAACTAGGCCAGTTTCTGGGAAGGATAAGTAGGAGACGTCAAGGATAATCCATCCCGCCAATAAGGCTCAATGTCCCCTCCACCGCCATAGCAGCGTGACCCTTACACCACTCTTCCGTTATGTTGCCCGCGAGCAGACTGCAGCCCTGGGGCTGCATTTGTGATGCATATGCCCTCTAAGCAAAACTGTGTTCAGTATTTCCTCGCTCTTCGTTGTAATAAACTCCCTAGAGCAGAATCCTTCTTTTAAATCTAACAGTCGTCCAGCTGCTGTATAAATTGCCTGAGTTTTACGGAGCCCGACGCTGTTCCGGATTTGTGCCAGATGAATCCGGTGTACACTCTGTTTTCTTAAGATGTCTGTTAATGTTATCCTCGCTTCTTTGCCCACATCTGCCTTCAGGGTTTTCAGTTAAAGTATACAGCGTACTTCTCATGTCTGCCGTTCTTGCTGCATGTCCATCCTATACCTGTAAGATCCATTTCAGTGCCTTTTATCTATGTCCGGATCGTCCATGAGGTCTCTTCCTTTCAGGCTTTCCTACTGACTGTATTTCACGCAGTGTTTTCCTCGTGTTTCGTGTATTGCATTGTCCCCTGCCTAAAATGTTGTAATTGACTAGTACAGTCGGTGGTTTTCCCCAGGGCCTACCATCCCTTGAAACAAGGAACCACAGTATTCGGACGTCAGAACGCCTGGTTCGAGACCAGGTAACAGCGGCAACGCCGCTCCCCGAAATAGCATCAAGCGTCGCGACGCTTATTGCCCGGAAGTTTTGAAACCTCGATCTGTATTGAATGATCCTTACAGACGCCTGCAGTAGACGTCGTGGTTCGTCTCCATAGCGTAATTCTGCATTGAGCCGAGAGATAACAGGCTTTCAGGCGAAGTTGGCAGGCATGATTGGTCGAAATATCGCTTTATGACGTTCTCGAGATCAGCTTGGCCACGAGCAGAGGCTCCGTAAAGAACGCCTATGGTGCTGAGGCCCGCGCTGGGTTCGCCACGCGTTACGTAAGCTGCCTTGAGCTCTGCTGATCGCGTTCCAAGTCCAGTTTTCTGCGCCGCCTCACGGCTCTCATTTGTTTATTTATTTCTTCAGTTTTCTCTCTCGTCGATTTCGTTTTTCACCTTTATTTCTTCCCATTCGTAATGTAACACGTTTAGTTTCCGTCCAAATGCTACATCTGTTAGATATTTATCAGCTGTCAGCGGTTTGTGTTGCCATCTGTTGAACAAATTTCATACCACTTGAGGCCAGTTACGTCTTCGTTTCTCGTGTTTTCCTCCTTTGTCTTTTGCGTAGTGGCCGTGGCATATTTTAGGGTGGGGCTAGCTGTAGCGCGTCATGAATGGAGCAGTCGTCCTGGTTGAACGACCTGGTGACGTCACGCGACCCACCCGGCCCATTCATTAGCCCTGACCACGCTGTGGAGCCGCTCAGTTGTTTTTACTTGCGTAGGATGGAGGCAGGGGCTAGGGAAAGACCGCGTGAACGTCGCGGGGGGGGGGGGGTGAGAGGCAAAAAGCTTAGTACAAATTTGCGGTTAAGCCGTCAAAGACTACTTTATTTGACCGCCCTAGAGCTTTCAGGATTCAAGAATAACAAAAAATATACACTTTTGGTATTAATATGTTGTAGTTCATGTTATTAAATTTATTTATTTATTTTCAAAAATACAGGGAAAGTGGATATTGGCTCTCTCTCAGACCCCATGAAATGCCGTGTCCAAAATGGCGCTCATACACAGAATGACAGCAGCTTGATGCTGCTCGGTCATCACTGTTACAGCCAAATGAGAATACATGGAGCTTAATCGTGCAGCCCCGCCCCCCCTCCACCTTGCACTTCGTAAGGCCGCTCCTTGTCCAAACTGGTTCTCCCAGTCTCCAAGATCACCTTCTAGAAGTTAAAGGCGGTCGGGGCGTGGAGTTAAGCTCACAATTCTCACACATTTGATCTAATTACAGCCACATATAGAAGAAGCTCAAGATGGAGAGGAGACTGTTGGCTGCCATGTGCTGCTGTCTGGTGGCAAGGCTTGTAGGTGGACACAGGGAACACAAGGTGAGCAGTAAACCAAATGGCAGTGCTATGTTTTGCTTCTAGTTGAATGTAGCCAAAATGTATTTGTGTTTAAAGCCTGTCTCCATTTTATACTGAGGATTGGAAAGAAGTGGCATGGATAGCTTCCCCCTCTGTGTCTACCACTCTCTTCCCCTCCAGCCAATGTCAACCAGCTCAAAGCACTTATCGCCAGAGAATATTATGGCTTTCCATCAGTTGTGTGAACAGAAGGCCTATAGGAGTTCACCTGGAGGGGAATGTAGGGAGGTACACTGGAAGGGGAAGCATTGCAGGTCAGTGTGGCCGGGGGGCTTTTTCATGGCCTCAGTGTAGGTACAGAGATGGTCATTTATTTTCATAAAAGTGTTGTCCTTCAGAAATATTAGCTCCATTTCTGCAACAGATTTTGAGTATAGCCTTTGAGTTTGCAGTGCCTGAGAGTAAACTTACATAAAGATGTTTGAGCGCAAACATTGATACGTTCTGTGACAGGTCCACAACATTGTGCTGTACCCCGACAAGCACTCCTGGTGCAACACCACCCCTATCAAGCAGGTTGTGGCCTTTCCAGGCTGCAGCTCTGTGGAGATAGACAACAATGTGTGTGTGGGGGCATGCTTCAGCTACAGCATCCCTCGCACTGCTCCCAGTGCCCCTGGTGAGCTCATCAAGCCCTACTGTGATTCGTGCCAGCCTTCCACTGTCGCCTGGCAACATGTATGTAGAAACTCTGGCTATCGTGTTATCACACTGTTAAAAGGTGGTTTATGTTGTGTCTGAATTATTTGGTAGGTAGAATGAGTTTTTTTAATGTAAGAAAAGTCAGCAGATATTGACCAAAATGACACCAATGCAATATCACACCATGTCATTCTCATCCTCCCTAAATCTCAGATATCTTTCCTTTTATTTCCCCCTCCCCAACCCATCATGCATTCTTCATAAGCAGAGAATCTTCTTGTGATGACCAGGGACCGGATTTTAATGACCTGAAAATATTTAGAAAATGACCGAAAAATCCAGAGAAATAACCCAAAAATATAATATGCAGGAGCCGGATTTTGATGACCTGAAAATATTTAAAAAATGACCGAAAAAATGCAGAAAAATGACCTAAAGGAGAAAAGAAAGAACACTTCACTTCCATGTTATTCACATTTCAGAAAACATATGAAAAAAATCCCTAAAATGGCCAAAAATGACAAGAAATACCCTTAAAAGCCAAAAAATTTACCAAAAAATTACCCCAAAAATGAAAAAATGACCATAAACCTAAAAATGTCAAAAAATGACAGGAAATTAACTATAAAATTTACATTTCTGTAATCAGCAGCTCATATCCGAAATTTATACCTGTATATTTAAGAGCATCGCATAGGATACAAGGACAAAAAGATGACATGTCATCAGAATCCAGGCCCTGGTGATGACCATATGGGTAACTCTCCTCATTTCCTTATTCACACTCTCAGTGCCCTGTCCGTGGCCATTACAGAAGCTGCTCTGCATGCACGCACTCCCCAACGCACATCACCATTTAGGTGATTCATTACAGAAGGAAGGGCCAGTTTTAAAGTACATTTAATTTCCCATCCATGTATGAGTGCCGCTAAACATGTTGCAAGTGAACAGTCAGTGGCCCTCATCTGCACAGTAAATGAAATGTACTGCTGCTATGCATTTTCACTTTATATGTTTCATTATTTGTATAACCTGCCACATGTAATGCGCAACACTTGTGCACATGATGTGTTCTCCAGCCCACAACAGTCACGTGCTGCATGCCACATTTCATAAAGCATAAAGTTGTTCATAATGCACGGTTCATCATCAGGTTCTTCGTCTGTCTTGTTTCCTTATATTTACATTTTGAACATAAATGTCCCCGTCCTATGTCCCCATCGCTTATTGGTCCTGTACCGAAATGGGGGTACATACAGAAATGTATACACATTTTATGAAAAAAAAGAATATGCACTGAAGAGTGCAGATGGATGGGAAGAAAGTAATGCCTTCTGTATCACAGATGCTCAGATTGTTAGCCTGTTAAGTATTAGCTTAATTTATGCATTCATGGATTGACTGCATCGTCATCAGGCAGTTCTACAGATCACTGCAGCATCAGTAGGAAGTTACTAGACTCTTCCATGTCTTTTTTTTAATGCTAGTGGGGTGGGCCTAAGTCCTTTGTACTGCGGCCACTTCTGGCCTATTGTACCAGCCCCAAATGATAGGTGAGGGTGATTATGGAGCAGTTGGTGGAATGAAGATTGGCAGGGGAAACTAAAGTACTCGGAGAAAACCTGCCCCAGCGCCACTTTGTCCACCACAAATCCCACTTCACCAGAGCCGGGATCGAATCCAGAACGCCGCGGTGGGAAGCTGGCGACTAACCGCTTGAGCTATGGCATGGCCTTCTTCCACGTTAGTTCATAGTCATCTTAAATGGAACTTGCTTCATAAAACCTTTAAAGTATTAAACTTCAGAATGTCTTCTAGATCACTGGTGTATGCATACAACATTGGTCACCTGTAGGTGTCTCCAAAATTGCTGATGAAACTGCTGTGCTTTTGGGGAATGCCCCCGTCTGTGTGCCCTATAGTGATGGGTGCTTCCTCTGATTGTGTTGTGTGTAGCTGTTGAGACAGCAACTAGTTACTGACAGGACTAAATAGGCGACGAGCTACAAGATGCTGCGATACAATATTGTTGTGTTCGTTTGTGTTAAGAGCGGCCACTGCATTGCGGCATGGAGAAGGGAGGATTTGGAGGCAAAGCAGAACATGCCCTAGACTTCACCAAGTCCACATCCGGTTACAGCTCCTCTGCATGTAACATGAACTAGACTTCACCAAGTCCACATCCGGTTACAGCTCCTCTGCATGTAACATGACCTAGACTTCACCAAGTCCACAGAGTGAGGGCACATCCTGTTACTTTCATGACGTGTAATGAGGGCTTGACAGAACAAGAGGATGCTATGATAAAATAATAATAGATCCATTTTCAACATTCTTGTACAGTGGGAGCCTGAAATGCACATACCAGAGATCTGTTGAATTCACAGGTCTTCCATTCCATAAAGTTGCGTGCTCGAGATATGATGAGTTCCTCAGAGATGTGTTAGAGAAAGTTTGGCTGCTGCTCTAGCACACTTTAATTGGGTCAATACTGCAGATCTTGTTGTTCAGGGAAGTTAACATGGACGTCGCGACATGCCATTTTGCTGCTATCACATGCCCTTTTCCCTCATAGTTATATTTTGTACTAAAGTACAACATTCTGTATATAAATGGGATATCTCAGTCAACTAAGTGAGCAGGACAACCCTGGTGTGATTTTTGGCAGGGGCAGGGCTGTTTCTCTTTGCTCTCATGCTATCCAGTGGCTGCCATGGGATCAAAGAAACCTGACACTCTGCAGTTTTTTACCTGCCATGTTGTACTTAATTATAGAGGTAAAAATGGTAATGGTAAAGTTGTCCCCATGCTTAACTAATTAAGCACTACACCATGAAGGCGTTTGGGGAACTGGATATATAGATCCACATTTTCTTGACCTCAGCACTAACTGGAGGTGAGTGGTCAGCTTCACGCCCCTGCTGCTTTACCACCAAAGAAAGATACCCTGGTACCCATTGGATAGGAGGCTGGGTGGGCCCCAGAACCAGTCTGGACAATATGGAGAAGAGAAAATTCTGAACCTACTGGAACTCAAACGCCGACCCCTTGGCCATTCAGCCCATAGGCAGTCACTGTACTGGCCCACACAGCTGTAAACTTGCACAGGGCAGCTTCCAACCCAGCAGTACTTGCAGGTGACCCTCAACTGCACGGGCGAAGACACAGAGAGCCTCCAGAAACGTGTCCAGATCATAAGGAACTGCAGTTGCAGCACGTGTGATGCTGGAGACGATATTGCAGCAGTGTCATCTGTGTTGGCATCAGGGGATGGTGAGATAGGGACAGACCACAAAGCATCGCTTCCTGATGTTGGGGATCTCATAGACTTCATGCTGAAGACGCAGAACAAGGGTCCGGCTGCAGGAGTAACAGGTAGGGCCAGGCCATCCTGTATTCACTGTACTTGAGCCACGGCTTCTGAAACATTTGGGAATGGCAGTTTTGCCTTTCATACTGCTGACCTAATAGAGCACAACCAAAGGTATTTAAAGTTTTTTGTATACCCCTTGCCAGTATACATATATGGTAGCCATGGCTGTTCAGTTGATGTGTCAGTATTGCGAGGAGAGTTCCGGGATGTGATCTGAATTCTCTTTTTCTGGTCTTTGTTCAAACTACGAAAGTAAATTTTTTTGTAGGACTGCATTCTGTTTATGTCTTGCTGTAGACCACAAGGTAACAGTCAACACAAACGTAAACTAAAAAAGTTCTGTTTTTATTTTCTCATCATTCACCTTAAGTTTCGACCACCTGCGGTCATCATCAGGTGATAAACTGGCCAGAACATATATAGACTATGAGCACAGCTTCATAAAAATGTAACAGTATATAAAACCATGGATGTGAGAGTAGTGATATTGATCAGATCCAATCAAGTTTCACAAAGACCCAGGTACACTGTAAGTTATCTCTATGCTTAACTACTTAAGTGTTATGCCATGAAGACGCACTAGTTGGAGGTGAGTGATCAGCTTCATATCCCAGCAGCTTTACCCCAGGTACCCATAGGATAGGTGGCTGGGTGGGCCCCAGAACTGGTCTGGATGATGTGGATGAGAAAAATCTTGCCCCTACTGGGACTTGAACTGTGACCCCTTGACTGTACTGCCTGCACAGTGTTGATTAAAATTGTGAGGGTTCTTCAGTGCTTGAGGCACATGTTTACTGTCTGATAAGCTTATATGCCTTTGTGAATATATCTTTCAGGCTCAAATCAGATTAAATTACCACTTTGGGTTATGCATTACTGTTGTTTTATTTGGAGGACTTGAAGACCTTCTGCTGTTATCTGCACAATATGACAATTCTCCAGTGTGTAGCGCTACACGTTTGCTGTCTGATATACAGCTTGGCACTTGTTTTCTTTTTGACTGAAGTCCATCTTGGCCAGCAGGCATTTCAGGAATTGTCCAGTTTTCTAGTATGGCAATATGAATGTTCAGTGCAGTCTTCGATATGATCCAGTTAATTCATTCTGACATCAGTTGTCACATCATTAAGTGTGACTGTAGACGGGGTTTGGATTGGCAGTCAGATTCATTTCATCATTTTACAGCTTCTAACTACAGGTAACTACGACAGTCTCACTGAGTCGCATGCTCCAAAAGTCGCCGTAACTACGGCTCACATAAAGAGTCTTCTCAGTCTTCACCAGCTGTTGCTTTGTAGCTTTTTCCCACATTCCAGAACTGTCCATGTCTGTCACTTCCTGTTGTGTTGTCCTCTTACTAATATCCGACTACATCATACCTATTTTTGAGTGGCGTGGGGGCTTGTTAAATCATCTGATGTTTTGTTGGAGAGTGGCTGATGTTGGTAATGAAGTGTGAAGTGTGTTATTGGAGTCGCAGACCAACATGCTGATATAGTGAAGGCCCTGTTAGCATATCAGTACGCCAGTTGCACATGCTGCTGGTTTAGAAGTGAACGTAGACAGAGACAGTTGTCTCAGTTTCTGGCTGTACACTGTGCTAAGCTGAACACTCACGTGTTTTGAGATTAAAATATCCCATGAGTGTGAAAGTTGTCAGACGTTTGCACTGTTGCCATGACCATATTAATTAACACCCGTGGGCGCGCGCGCGCGCGTGTGTGTGTGTCGACCTGTTCATTCTCAGACTCTTGTTTGTCTTGATTTTTTAAGCTAAATATTCTTGGGATCAGTTTTCATGTCAGCTCAAGGTCAGGTCAGTTTCTGACTAGACGATAGAAGTGTCAGTTTACATCTTCACAGTCTGTTTCATGAGGGCCCACCTTAATATCTTGCCTTATACATTCGGGTTTTCCAATGACATTTATGTTCTGCAGGTGGGGAGAGTGGTGAGGGTGGTGGGGGTAGCAACGCTGCAATGAACGAACGCCTGCTGCTGCTGCTGCGGACACTGGGTGAAGGTGGACAGCTGGATGAGGCGGATTTGCGTGAGTTGTTGCGACAGGCAGATCACAAATTGAATGCTGCAACGCATGAACACCGTGACCACATCAAGGTGAACCTGGAGCGCCTAAGACATGAGCTGGCACACCACAGGCACCATCAGCACCAACAAGATCCAACCCTCAGTGTGGCACCACACCACTTCAAGCCAGCGCTTGGTGGTGCTGAACTCAGCTACCATGACAACCTGCTTCAACCTGAGGAGAAGGATGAGGAGTTCTGAGACAACCATTTCACTTACAAGTTGCTCGAGAGGTTATAACATCCATCTATGTGCATGTTCCATGTTCCAGACTACATAACAGACATCAGACAAATTTCATTTTGGTTCTTGTCAATCACTGCTTCTCAAACGTGGCTTCACATGCTGAACAGTATGAATTTATAGCAGTCGCTAATGTTTGTAGATATGATGTGTTTGTTTCATTTGAGGTTCTCACATTGGCAACTGTAACTACTGCTATCCTGTAAGGGGTGACACTGTGTGCACTGACATTTTGCAGGAACCTGATGTCTCCATCTTCAGGGTCAAAACAAAGCCAGGCAAGTAACCAGCAAGCAGTTGCACTGGCCTCAGCAGTGTCCTGCTTGTTTGGCTTACTCTTCCTCCCTGAAGATGGAGGCAACATATTCCCCTATTCCCCCTATTCTACCACTCTACACGGTGTCACACACCAGAAGATTTTCCTCTTCATATTGATACTTTTCAGTGGCTGTCATGGTACCTGATTGGAAGTTACATATTCATGTAATGGTACACATACACCTGTGAATACAAAGAACAGTGGGTTACACACTCAATATGATTGGCATTCTGTTGTGTACCTTCTGAAACAAGGATGCCTCTGGCCCTTTTGGCTGGAAACAGTTTTACCTTAAGGCAGAGATTTCAGAGGCTTATGTCCAGGCTGTCAGGTTGCTGCATCCATGGTGTGCAGGATATCAGTGGGAAATTACACATAAGGCAAAGGTGCCATGCAGGAAGTTGAGGCAGCATGCTCAAATGGCGCTCACTGTTCACAGCTTGGTCAAAGAAAATTTGTCCCCATTAGTCCATGGCTGTAGATGGTAGTCCATACTGTAATTTTCTGTGTGTTTTACAGTTTCTTGGGAAGCACACGTTTACTGCACTGTTGAGGTGGAAATGTGGCTTCTCTGAAAACAGTGTGTTGTGCATTATGACTTGATCATGCTGTGCTGACACACATGCAAGTCATTGTGCAAAATTTGCTCTACTGGTCATCTCAATATTCCATGGACTACTCCCACTTCTCACACATCCCCATGGCCTCCTTCCAAATGTCTGATGAAGTCTGTGGATAGCGTTTGGAGCAGGGGCTAGCCACATAACAAAACTGTGCCTCCCATTGTCAGCCATCTTCTGCACACTGGTGGGAAAGCACATTAGCTACATGTGATGCATATGCCATCTAGTGGTATTTCCAAGAGCTACAGCACTCGCCCATGTGACAGAAACTTCATCCATAACATTGTTGTTTTACTGTAAAAACAGAGTATCATTTCATGCCCCACCCTATACAAATAGAGAGGCTGCATTCCAGGCTTGAAAGGCAAGAGACTGCATGCATCCATTTTGTTTGGATGAAATGGCACATTTGTGTTCACAGTTGTTAGGAGGGGGCTTGCAGTAGGAAAGCAGCGTAACTGAACCCGCAGTCAGTGGATTGACACTGCCAGAAATTTGTTTGTATGTGACCCTTGCAGTTTGTTCCTGGATCTGTTGGCATTGCATTGCTGAGGTGACATAGGTGGCAGCTCTGAGCAGAATACTTTGTGTCTGTATTTGTAGAATTATTTTATGTTTTTAAGATGTGTACCGGTGACTAATAATACTAACATGTGTGCGTACACAGGCTACAAAGTGTCAGTGCAAAATGCCCACACTTTGACACGGTGTGTGCTGTGCATCAGTACAGTTTGTTACTTACAATTAAATGATTGCTGGAGGCTTTATCTTGAGAGGCTGTGTCTAATGGAATATCATAACTATAGTCAGATGTTAATAATGTTGGATTTTAAAAGAATATATTAATATATTTGTATGTATAAAACAAAGTGAACAATATTTATGCCTTTGTTATATCCTTGCAACCTTCCATTGCCATGTGTATTGTTTGTTTTGGGCCAACTGGACATCTGGTTTGCATAGATTTGTAACTTTCCTGCCTGTTTCCTGTTATGTTCCTAACAAACAACACCCAGACATGTTATGAAATTCACTCCATATTCTTGCCAATATGAATGTTGGCATGCAAGTGTTGTGGTAGGGTTTTTTAGTACAATTGAAATCCCCGTTCTCAGTCACTTTTGTACAGACATGGCAGGAAACCTTGAAGGAAGGAGACCTGCTATTGGTGCGAGGACAGTATCAAAGTCGATTTTTAAGAAATGGGGACCATTGGTAAGCTCTTCTTAACACAGTAATGAAACTTTGGGTTCCACAAAGTGCTGTTAATTTCTTGAATAGCTGAGCAACTGTTATCTTCTCAAGAAGGGCTCAGTATCATGGAATTTGTTAATTATTATTTTATAGTTTATTTGACAGTCCTGTAGTAGTTGGGACTGTATAACGTTGAGTGGTAGGATGGTTAATCATTAATTAATTGAAAAGGATGTGGAACGAAGCGGTCAAGGCATACTTTGATGAACCATGCTGACATTTGCCAAGAGAAATTCACAAAAATGATGAAAACCTCAGAATAGCCTGTGTCCCAACCAAGTACCTCCAAAATGCAAGTCTTAGAGTACTGCCGCATCAGCAGTATAAACATTTATTATTGATGCAGCGTTTTGCAAACACTGTCTTTGGAGCATTTAAAGAGAATATATTTTTGAAGCACCACATTACATGTTCGGCAATTTACCATAATGGTTGGGGAGAATTAATTTAATTTCCGTTTGTGTCCCATGATGGATATGTTGGTATCACATTTTTAGTGCATTCGCATGGAATACAGTAAACATTGGCTAATCTGGATGTCAGAGAATGTGGATTGAAATATGAAAAATGCTGTTCCTAGTTGAATACACAATTTGAAAGACACATGGCACTTAGGATGGCAGATGAGTCACTTGTATGTTCAGACAGAACTTGACAGTTTCTTCAAACCTGAATTATTACATTTATAAACTAAGTACAACTTCTGAATCTTCTGTTGATGATTAAATATATTGTCTTTTTATAGTTTTACTAAATAAAGGCTCTACACTTATATTTCTTATTTATTTTCATTAGCAATTCTTGCATCATTAAATTTTCTTTTTATTTGTCTTTTAGGACCACCTTTTGCTTCAGTAATTCGGATTGTTGCTTAACCAGAATGGCCTCCCCCCAATTACTCCGGATTAGCGAGGGCTTACTGTAGTTCCAAAAATGCGCCAATTGGCGTCGCTGTGTCAGTCCACATGTACCAATTCAAGATCAACAAAACAGATTTTCATGAAGTTTGAAAATTGAGTTTTACCAAAATCTATGGACACATTTCAATTTTGATTAAAATCGGAAAACAAAATCAGACCGCCGGGCAGGCTGGTTTAACGGTAATGTAGACTGTTTTTTCGGGGGTTGAGCATTCGAATCTCGTGTGGGACTACCCGGAGGGTTTTCGTTGTTTTGTTCATTTCATCCTGGCAAGTGCTGGGATAGTACGTCGATTAATCCAAACCTCTTCCTCCCAGATCCTCTCCAATTCATCGTCTATCCGTCATCTATGTAGTCTCGACACTGGAAGAGCACGGATCCTTTATCCGCTGCGTGCGGACGTCCTTGCGCTCCTCCACGCATCTAGAGCATAACTTGCCGAGTATGGGAACGGAAATGTCTCTGAGAGAAGCGAGACGTGCGGTTTTCGCGATAATTGAACGGAAGGGGGTGAACGCGCAAGATTGTTAGTTCATGGTTTTGGACTTTGCGCAACCAACTGCTTTCCTTTGTACAACGTTTGGAGCCAGGGCGTGAGTAGTGTGTCCAGATTCCCGACAGATATTAATCTTCGGGATGCGGGAACGAGAAATCGGAATTCTCGGAAAATTCCGAATAATTTTTCTGTGATGGGGTTATACTAAATTTCCAGAGCTTTTCTGTAAGAAAACCTATATAAGAATAACTGCATGGTTTATTATTATTGTTATTATAATCAATATAGTATGTACACTTGGTCGTCGACTTGCGACCGACTTCCGTTCTGACTGACAGGTCGTATGTCGGCCATATATTTATTAACGGTATTTTTTAAACTTCCTAATCTTTTTATCGTCTTTATAATTTATTTTTAAAAACTTTTACATTTTAATCCTTTTTATTTTTCATTTTAAATACAGTAATGTTGCTTGCGTGTGTGGGAGGCCTGTGTTGCCGGATGCTCCCATAGTTTTCGTACGCGCAGCTGCCTGGCGGTGTCCTCAGGCCTCAGTAGCACATCCTCATTTATTATTAATTTATTTATTTATCATTTTTTTGTGGTCGTAATTGCGGCCGGTTGTAAGTCGACGACCAAGTGTATTGTGACAAGTTTATGTAATTCAATGACGTGTAAAAATGATTGTGCTTGATGGAGACATTTGATAATAGCATTAGAAGAAGGTAACATTGCAACGAAATGGGCGCCAAGTAAAATCATTTTAAAATTTGAAAGACAGTATCACAAATATTTACTATTTAAAAAAGTTACCGTTCCTAGAATGAAATTCTGAAACACACAAAGCATTAATTGCCCTATCCGACATCTGGCTCGTTGTTTCGCGACAGACATTCCTGACGTAGGAAATTCCTTTCATTGTGCGTTGGCCTTGCTCGAATTGTTAGAGGAGTGCTTCAAGCTGTGCGTGTTGCAGTGCATGTTGCTTCATGTAAGCCCATTTCCTTCTTTAACGTTGAAAACATTTTGTCTGCTTACCCTGATTTTGGTTTTGCCGTTGAAATCCTTATTGCTTCTGCTGATTCAGACTTTAGATCAGCAACTGACTTAATGTCGAAATATTCCACAACAACATTCACGTCTTCTCCCTTTTGCTTTCTCTTAAAACGTTTTCCCAATTTCTCGGGATTTGAAAAATCATACGAATTTCCCGGGAAATGCCAGGAAGGAGTTCCCGCATGAAAGCACTAGGCCCTTCATATCATCTGCCCCAGAAGACATTTCCGAAAAGTGGTTTTATTTTAAAAACTAACACCACCGACAAACCCCTACAGAATAGGCATAGATGTTGTCATGCAAATGACTTATTTACACATGAAGAACTGTTTTGCGTGTCGTTACCTGGCAACCGGTTCACGTACCCCTCACGCCGTGTGATGGCCCGCGGCCACTTCTGGCGACGAACAATTCAGTTCTGTGTGTCTGGCTTGGGCACCGTTAATCGGAATTTCAGACTGCGCGACTTTCAAAAGCAGTGCATTTGTGATCTGTTGCCGAAAGAGGGATGTGACGGACTGATGTTAGATGTACAAACGTTTTCCTTNAAACTAGAGGGGCCACCCAGAGAGCAGGATGATCTACATCTCCTATAAAGAAGGTAGCCCCCCCCCCACACACACACACACACACAAATAATCTTTGGGGAAAGGATCGCAGAAACCCATCTGCCGGTGTCTGTGCTCCCTTCCTCATGTCGCTGATCGTTTTTCCCGCGCGGCTTACTCTTCTACCGGTACGACGCAGAGCGTCAGTTACCTCCGTGCCATGCTACACGTGATCGTCGTGAAAGTCGCCAGCCTCAGATATCTGAAGCCTCTTATCAGCCAGTTTCTGTGTCACTGCAGTCCTAACGTGTTCGCCGTGTGGTCTAGCTAACGGGCGTCTGTGTGTGGACCTTTTGCCCGAACAGAGTTGTCTGACGGGTTTCCTCAGTTCCAATCTCTCATTATACAAACAGCATGAACGAGCATGAAGTTCTCAAACGTTGGCTTCGCGACCGCGGCCGTCTACGCACATACACGCACAGGTAAGCAGGCGACGTGGCTTTGTTTGTTTGGAGGNGGGGGGGGGGGGGTGCCACGCTGTTCCGCTCTCAAAACAGATGTAAACCCGCACTCGCCCTACCGACGCGGTACTGCACGGCAAAGGCTGGCGTTTCCGTCTCACACAGAGACGTCGTCAGTTGAACAAACTGCAAGTTCCTATGCTTGCGTAGTTTTAGAATTCTCCTTTCAGGTGTCTTCGTGAACATAATATTCCGGTATTGAAGTGAAATTATTCTCTGTAAAATGGAGAAGTGGCAAAAATAGAATATTCCGTAAAACACTACGGTCTTATGAGTTGAAACACCGTGAAGTTAGGACAGACCCCCGACGTTTCGGAGGAACATATCGCTTCATTCTGGAAGGTTGACAGGTAAACCAAGCGTAAGGGCGCGTTTCCACGGGGCGTGACACGCTAGCGTGAGGCAGGTATTCGTGAGTACGACCCATGTGAACGAAGCGTCGTGGAAATTCTTATGACGTCACAGGCAAGAGTGAGGGCTCACGCTTCATATCA